AACTATCTCTGTTGAAATTCTAACTGAAGCAGTATAGCCGATTAATAAATAGCTACACTATACTTTAATAAGTTATCGGATTCCGAAAACACCTAGCTTGGCTAGAGTTCCAGGTATACTAAAATCCTCTAAGTTCTTACTAGAGTTCTGACTAGAATTCTCAAATCTTAATCTAAGGATAGATCTAACGCCCCTGAAATAATCTGAATATAATTAAATATGCATTCGCAAATAAAAGCTGTACAGGTGACGTACCTCGGAGTCGGCGTGGCGTGAGCGTGGTGTGGTCATATCTCACTAAAATTTTAGTATACAGAACCACTAAGTGGCTCTGATACCAACTGTAACACCCTGCCTAAAACTTACTAAAGTCAGAGTAAATTTTTCGCGCTATAAAAGGAAAGCACTTATTTAATTTTCGAAAACTCATATTATTTTTTCGAAAATACTTTAACTTTAAAACGCGGAATGCTACTCAACTTTTGTCTTATATCTTTATCACTATAATCTATCATGCATGCGACCAAGTAAAATCATTCTAGAAATAAGGCCATGAATAATACCGGATAAAACATGCATATTCTGAAAATCTGACATAATCTAACATCTGAAATAATAGTCTGAAATTTGAGATCTGAAACACAAGTCTAACATTCGGAAGCAAGTACAAGTTCAGAAAAGCACACAAGCATAAAACAAACATAGATAATTCAAACATGTTCAAATACTATATGACATGTTTTCACAAAAATGTCCTGAAGCTGGACCAACACCACATAACTGCTCACGCTCCACGCGGGACTCCATCACCTGAAAAATAGGGTAGTGGGGAGGCGTGAGCACAAAGGAATCAACGGTGCTCTGCTGGAACTGGCACTGAATACTCAGCACAATTAATAACAAACTATGGAATCAACATATATATGAATAAACTGGTCTGGCTATGGGACTAACGGTAAACCGATACTCATGTGCACACTCTGGGGGTCCCCTGCCACAGAAATCCAGGAAAGGCACTAATCACCCCATCTTGACGCTAGACTTAGGACGGGCCCTAATCACACACATCCAAGTCATAACTGAAATACTAAAATATTGACCAAGACGGGATCACTCATCCGTCTCAATCCTTCAATTTAATCACATATAGATCTCAGACATGGTAAATTATTAAAAGTGATGAAATACACAGTACATGGTCCCCACCTGGAAACTGGCGAAAAGCGAATCCTGAATATATCTGAAATGGGTAGCTGATGGAGGCTCGACTCTCCTCAAGCTACAAAATATATTGAGCGAAATATCCTAAGTACTAGGCTCAGAATAAAACTCAAATCTTTAATATCTTATATATCTAGGTTCGTTCACTCGGCTTTAAAAATCATTTAGGGATTTACGAGCTGATTTTGAAAATATTAACGTCGTTGAGGCATTCTAGAGTTCTCTGGAATATTTCAAAATCTGGGACTAGGATCTGACTTAATCTGATCTGACTGAAATCTAAACTATATCTGAATCTTAAATCTATCTGAAATTCTTAACTTTATCTGAAATCTTAATCTGACTGTATCTGAAATTTATCTGACATTCTATCTGAAATATATTTCGAACAGTCCGGATGACCGGACCAGTTCGACTGAACTGGACCGACGGCTCACTCGGAGTCGGTCGGTCATTCGCTTGACTATGTGCAGCTCGGTTTGACCGTGGTCCGAGTTCGGCGTGGCGACTCGGGCCGGCACGAACTCGACTGACACGGCTTAACCGATGCACGAGTTTGAACAGTGCCACGGTCACTGACGCAGGGGCGTGCTTGGACCACGGCTAACAGAACGACGCGTAGATGGCAAGTCGGATGGACTCGGTGCACGGGCACGCACTCGGGGGTTTGACTCGGACTCGGTGCACGGGCACGCACTCGGCGGCTCAGCTCCAACGGTCGGACGAGAGGCGATCACGGGCACGAGACGACGATACGCATTACGAATTACGATACGACGGTTAAAGATTATCTAGACGGTACTAAGGGTTCAGACAATTATAATCGGATCCAGAAAAATACCCGGTTATCGGAACCGGATAAAACTAGGGTTTTGATTCCAGAAAATCCTAACTCAATTAAGGTCGATATTTAACATACATATTCTATGCGATTTATAATAAATCTATAATCCACAACTGCAGCTAAAGTCTCAATCAAACTATTATTTTATTATTACGACATTAATATCTAATGTCTCGATTTTTATAACTAAGTCAAACAACATCCAAAATTTACAAAAATCGAAACATAACATCTTTAATATATGTAAGGTCTATGGTCAACATCTCAAGTCAAAAGTCAACTCCTAACTCAGTCAACTAAAGATTGCTACGACCGGTCAACGCATTTGACCGGCTCGTCTACCTATCAAACGACGCCCGAAAAATCTCAAATTTCAACCTAAGCCTCAAAATGACGTAAC